CGGGTGACACAGGCAGGTGACGCCGGTGTCGCGTTGTCCCCAGCGCAACAGCCGCTACGACGGGCAGATCGCCGTGTTCGGGGCCGAGCTGCAGGCCAAGCTGGGAGCCCAGAAATACTTTGTGGTCAGTGTCCCTGATGTCCCCAATGATGTCCCCAATGTCCCCAACGTCCCCAACGTCCCCACCCGTGTCCTCCATCGTCCACGAGTCTCCTGTGTTGTCACCCGTTCCTCAAATGTCACCGAATTTCCCTTCGTGGATTTGTCGCCTCTGCCAGTCCTCCTCGATGTCCCCACGTGTCCCTCAGGTGTCCTCACCTGGTTGTTCCTTTGTGTCACCTCCGTGACCTCGATGTCCCCAACTCTGTTCGAGCGTCCTTGGAGTGTCCCAAAATGTCCCCTCGCCCCCATCCCAACCCCACTGCGTGTCCCCAACCCTTGGGCCACCTCCTGTTGTGTCCCTACCTGTCCCAAACTCCCTGGGCCACCTCCTGCTCTGTCCCCACATGTCCCCAAGCCACCTGGGCCACCACCTGCCATGTCCCTACATGTCCCCAACTCCTCTGAGCCACTTCATGATGTGTCCCCACATGTCCCAAATTCCCTGGGCCACTCCTGCTCTGTCCCCACATGTCCCCAAGCCACCTGGGCCACCTCCTGCTGTGTCCCCACACGTCCTCACCTGTCCCCAACCCCATGGGCCACCTCCTGCTGTGTCCCCACCTGTCCCCACGTCGGTCCCCACACATCCCCACCTGTCCCCAGCCCCGTGATCCCCCCTCGTGCCGTGTCCCCTCGTGTCCCCTCGTGTCCCCACCTGTCCCCTCGTGTCCCCGGCAGGTGGGGGCGGGGGCCATCGGCTGTGAGCTGCTCAAGAACTTTGCCATGGTGGGGCTGGGCTGCGGCCCCGAGGGCAGTGTCACCGTCACCGACATGGACACCATCGAGAAGTCCAACCTCAACCGCCAGTTCCTCTTCCGGCCGTGGGACGTCACGGTGAGGGCTGGGGGGTGGCCAGTGTTGGGTTGGCCAAGGTTGGGTTGGTCAATGTTGGGTTGGCCAGTGTTGGCTTGGTTGGTGTTGAGTTGGTCGGTGTTGGGTTGGCCAATGTTGGGTTGGTCAATGTTGGGTTGGTCAGTGTTGGGTTGGTCAATGTTGGGTTGGTCAGTGTTGGGTTGGTCAATGTTGGGTTGGTCAGTGTTGGGTTGGCCGGTGTTGGCTTGGTTGGTGTTGAGTTGGCCGGTGTTGGGTTGGTCAATGTTGGGTTGGCCAATGTTGGGTTGGTCGACGTTGGGTTGGTCAATGTTGGGTTGGTCGACGTTGGGTTGGTCAATATTGGATTGGTCAATGTGGGGTTGATCAATGTTGGGTTGGCCAACGTTGGCTTGGTCAATGTTGTGTTGGCCAACGTTGAGTTGGCTACGCCGAGCTGGGGGTGGGTGGGGAGGGACAACGAGGGGCAGAGTTTGGGGAGGGGGAGTCTTGAGGGGCGGAGCCAGTGGGGGTCGGGCAGCCATCCTTAGGATGCTGCCGTTGGGTTGGCCAAGGTCAACGGTTGAGTTTCTTGGCCAACGCCAACACTTGAGTCACCAACTGCGTTTTTGCATCATCGGATTGGGAGGAAGGGGCGTGGCCTAAAGGGGCGTGTCCCAGGGGCGTGGCTCACAGCCAGGTGTGTCCCCCCACCCCCAGAAGCTGAAGTCGGAGCGGGCGGCGGCGGCGGCGCGGGAGATGAACCCGGCGCTGCGCGTCTGCAGCCGCACCGACCGCGTGGGCCCCGACACCGAGCGCGTCTACGACGACGACTTCTTCGAGGGCCTGGACGGCGTCGCCAACGCGCTCGACAACGTGGACGCGCGTGAGCTGGGGGGCGGGGTACTTGGGGGGCTGCCCCACAACCATTGGGGTGCCCCATATTTGGGTGCCCCATATTTGAGGGTGCCCCATAACCACTGGGGTGCCCCATATCAAGGTGCCCCATATTTGGGTGCCCCATGTTTGGGTGCCCCATATTTGGGTGCCCCATGTTTGGGTGCCCCATGACCACTGGGGTGCCCCATATCTAAGTGCCCCATATTTGGGTGCCCCACAACAACTGGGGTGCCCCATATCAAGGTGCCCCATATTTGAGGGTGCCCCATATTTGAGTGCCCCACAACCACTGGGGTGCCCCATATTTGGGTGTCCCATATTTGGGTGTCCCATATTTGGGTGCCCCATGTCAAAGTGTCCCATATTTGGGTGCCCCATATCTGAGGGTGCCCCATGTTTGGGTGCCCCATATTTGAGGGTGCCCCATAGGCCCTGGGGTTGCCCCATATTGAGGTGCCCCATATTTGGATGCCACATATCAGGGTGCCCCACAGCCCCTGGGGTGCCCCATGTTGAGGTGCCCCATATTTGAGGGTGCCCCATATCTAAGGGTGCCCCACAGCCCTTTTGGGGTGCCCCACACCCCCTTTCCCACCCCATAACCGCCCCCCACACCCCCTGGCAGGGCTGTACATGGACCAGCACTATACTCGCTATAGGGTCCTTTATATCCCCCAATCATTCCCTATATCCAGGGGTGTCCCACGACCCTTTTGGGGTGCCCCACACCCCCTTTCCCACCCCATAACCGCCCCTCACACCCCCTGGCAGGGCTGTACATGGACCAGCACTATACTCGCTATAGGGTCCCTTATATCCCCCAATCATTCCCCATATCCAGGGGTGCCCCACTGTCCCTTGGGGTGCCCCACGACCCTTTTGGGGTGCCCCACACCCCCTTTCCCACCCCATAACCGCCCCCCACACCCCCTGGCAGGGCTGTACATGGACCGGCGCTGCGTTTATTACCGGAAGCCTCTGCTGGAGTCGGGCACGTTGGGCACCAAGGGCAACGTGCAGGTGGTGATCCCGTTCCTCAGCGAGTCCTACAGCTCCAGCCAGGACCCCCCCGAGAAGGCCATTCCCATCTGCACCCTCAAAAACTTCCCCAACGCCATCGAGCACACGCTGCAGGTGAGTCCAGGTGTGCCCACGGGGGTGGGGGGATACACCTGGAGGGTGCTGTGCCCACCTGGAGGGTGCTGGGCCCACCTGGAGGCTGCTGGGCCCACCTGGAGGGTGCCCAGGTGGTGTTTTAGGGGGGGTTGAATGTGGTTGGGTGATGTTTGAGGGGTTGTGGAGAGCATAGGGGTCTTGTTTTGGGGGATCCCAGGCTCTGGGTTTCCTGATTTGGGGGGTCCTGGACACTGGTGCTGTGGTTTGGGGGGTCTTGGACACCAGGTGCCCTGGTTTTTGGGGGTCCTGGACACTGAGATCTCATTTTGGGGGATCTCAGAGTCTGGGTTCCCTGGTTTTTGGGGGGTCTTGGGCACTGGAGTTGTTGTTTTGGGGGATTTTGGACACTGGGGTTCTGTTTTTGGGGTGTCCTGGACACTGCAGTCTCAATTTTGGGGGGATTTTGGACATTGGGTTCTGGTTTTGGGGTGTCCTGGACACTGCAGTGCCCATTTTGGGGGGATTTTGGACACTGCAGTGCCCATTTTGGGGGGATTTTGGACACTGGGTTCTGGTTTTGGGGTGTCCCGGACACTGCAGTGCCCATTTTGGGGGATTTTGGACACTGCAGTGCCCATTTTTGGGGTGCCCCTGGTGCCAGCCCCCCCAGTGACCCCCCCTCACCCACAGTGGGCCCGTGACGAGTTCGAGGGGCTCTTCAAGCAGCCGGCCGAGAACGTGAACCAGTACCTGATGTGAGTGTGGGGCACCCCAGGGACCCCAAACTCCTGGAGCAGATCCCCCCACCTTTTTGGGACCCCTATAACTCTCTCCAGAATCTCCTGTGATCCCCCCCTAACCCCCTGCACCCCCAAATTTTTCTCCCAGAGACCTCAAGTTCTTGGAGCAGACCCTGCACCC